CGCGCGCGCACACACACACACACACAGAGAGAGAGAGAGAGAGAGAGAGAGAGAGAGAGAGAGAGAGAGAGAGAGAGGGTGTCCCGTAAGTTTTTGCCAACCACTTTTGTTTAGATAGAGCGGACTAAACTGAATCGAAAAGTCCTCTACCATTTTGCAATTTTCGCAATAGTTAGATATTAATAGTTAAGATATTAATTACTAAAAATTGTCGAATATATCTTGAATAATTTTTTACTCAAATACTACTAATAGAAAAATTGCAAGAGACAAAAATCATTCATTTTTTCTTCTTATAGAACTCTAACAATTTTTTCAGAATTTTTTATCAACTTTTTAGTACTGCATTTTCTTATTTTTACCAGCATGAGAAAATATGGTATTAAAAAATTCTAAAAAAATTTTCAGAACTTTATGAGAAGAAAATAAATAATTTTTATCTGTTGCTATTTTTCTGTAAAGTTGATAGTCCGTTCTTTTATCTAAACAAAAAGCGCTTTGTCATTAATTGCAAGACCCTGTATATATTGATAAATTATTTTTATATAATTTATGTGAAATGTGTTATATTATATTATAAATTTTTGCTTTTTAAGAATACTTAAATGCAATTGTTTAATTAGATTATAATTAGAGATTTTATTCAAATATATCATTAAATGATCGTAAAATGATCTAAAAATAAAAATTTATTTGTAATTTATTTATTATGTTTGATTTGTATCTAGTTTTGAGATAAAACTGAAGGCATTCTTTAGTTTTCTTTGAACAATTCAATTACGTAAGAATAATGATTATGTTTATCACGAATATATATTGTTAATCTGTATTATATTATTATACATGCACACACATATGTATATGAATACATATATGTATGTTAGATGTGTGCTTAGCATTTTGTGTAATATGAACACCTTGTTGCCTTACCACTGCCACTTCCTGTGATATCTGTTTTTTTTTTTAACCAAGAAATAATTGCATGTATATTTTCTCATTTGTTTTGTACTTTTGTTTGGTGCCTCAGTGAGAATTATTTTCTGGTAGTAGAATATCATATGCATCGCCAAGGATAATTTTTATATAATTTTTTTTTCATTCATTTGTATATACGTGAGCGTATGTGAATCTCGTGTACCTAGTACAATGCATCATCAGTTCAAAATCTGTTTACAGCTCTCCAGGAAATAGGTAAGCCGTGATGAATGATGAATGCAACAGTTGTAAAGTATCATACGTAGTCCTGTGTATTTTCTTCCTTTTTATGTTAATGCCCAATTTAAGTACATATTGTGAGGTCATCGAAAATTAATTTTTTCTAATGAAATTTATAGACATTTTTTCTTTACAATGTACTGTTTCAAATATTTTCTAAATTGTAGAAGATATTCATATTTTTCTTTCGTTTTTAGAAATGTCTACTTTAAATGTCTTCATAGAATTTAAAAGATTAGAAATGATAAGATTATGCGCATATATTTACATTTTACGAGAGGATTAAGTTATTTTTTTATATTTGTTAATTATTATTTCAAATATTTTATATTTATTTTTTTTATAAAATTATTTTTCAGTAATTTTTTTATCTGGGATAAATGTAAAATTTTTGAATGGCCTTACAATTTTCTATCTCAGGAAATGTGATGGTGGTAGGGTAATCATTACGCAGTTTTGTATGATATTTGTATATACTGAGTGTTTTTA